GAAGTGGCAACCCGCTCCAGTCTTCTTGCCTGGGCAATCCCATGGACAGAGGAGCCCAGTGGGCTACAGTCTATGGGGCCACAGAGAATCAGACACGACTGCAGCGACTTAGCACCCTAGCACCAGAGATACTGAAATAGTCACAGCCCTGAATGCGCTTCAACGCCAACGGGCTGGGGCCAGTGGGTCGGGCTGGGGCCAGTGGGTCAGGCTGGGGCCAGTGGTTCAGACTGGCCGTGAGTGACGCTTGGAATGAGTGTACATAAAAACTGGTTGGTCAACACCTGCGTCTTCTCTCCAGTCTGTGATCCTCTTTATCTTTGTAATCACTTGCAGTTTTCCATAAGAGGTGGTTTTACAATGTGGAGCTGGGACTAGGGGGACCCGGCGCCTTCGTGGTCTCAGCGTGCATGTCCCGCGTTGTTTCAAAGGATGGGCCAAGCCGACCGCCCTGCCCACCAGGGGTCACTGCTGTCTCCCCGCCAGAGGGGCAGGCGTGGCTGGCCACATCACCCTGAGGGTCTGGGGTGGAGGGGGCTGCTGGAGAGCCCCCTGCACTCAGGGGCAGGGTGTCTGCGGCCCCGTGGGAGCAGGAAGAGGTGTGGCTTGGCATGGCTCCCTCCAAGGGCAGGCAGTGACCCCAGGCCATCGATGCAGCCGTACAAGCCCGCTCCCTGGCCTCTGACCCACGGAGGCTCTGCCGGCCACCGGCAAGAGGCCCCCACGAGGTCAGTCCACCGTCAACCAGAGGCCAGACAGGAGGAGGCGCCCTGGACAAGGGAGGCATCGCTGGTGAGGGCTGAGACTCGAGCCCCCCACAGCCGGCGTGGTGGAATTCCTCCACAGCCAGCCAGCCACCAGGAGCGGCCGGACCCCAGCAGCACGGCCTGTGGTCAGCACCAGGATCACCAAGGAACCTACGCTTTGGGGGCGATGGGAGGCATCTAACAGAGTTGTAACCCTCGGTCAGAGGCAGGCTGCAAAATGGCAACATCAGACCTGGAAAGCAAATCAGCGGCGAACACACACAACAGGGAAACGAGATCCCGGGGCAGTGAGGCGGGAAGATGGGTATTGATTTCCTGTTGAGCACAGCCTTGCAGCAGCCGCGGCCCATAGAGAGACGCCGCCCCGCCATCCACAGGACGCCTGCCTCGCCGTCGGGACTCACACTTGAGCCACCTTGCCAGGAGTCAGAGAAGCCCTGGAAACCGCGATCGGACTGGACACAGATGGTCTGTTTCTGGGGTTCCTGTGAAAGCACCCCCTCCTGTGTAATCCACCTGCTGTCCTCATGGTGTTTGGCTGTGTGCTAACCCTGTCCTCCATGAGCTCCTCTGGGCCCGGGCAACTGCAAGCCCAGAGTCGGCTAAAATGTAGCAACGAACAGATAGATGGTTTTTTAAACTTTTAGTCCATAGAAGATTTCTCAAAGTTCAGGATCTTTCAGACCACTCGGCCCAACATCCAGTCCAGGAAAAAAAAAATCCTTTAAGAATTAAAGGAAATCCCAAACTCCATGGATACATTGCAAAATCCTACTGCAGGGCACAGAGAACTACAGTTAGTATCCTGTGATAAACCATCATGGGAAGAATACAGAAAGGAATGCATATATAAGTAGAACTGCAATCACTTTGCTGCACAGAAGAAAGTAGCACGTTATAAATTAACTGTACTTCAAATAAATAAAACTAGGGGGGAAAAAGAGAGAGAAAACCAGTTACCTTTTCCCGGTGACCATGAAGACCAGGGGACCCAAAATGACAAGTCTCCACTGCCAGCTGCTCACCCACACTGATGGTCAGAGAGGCCTGGCATTTGTTTCCAGAGTGTCCATTCTTTTTATTCACATATGTACTTGGCTGAAACAGATCTTCATGGCCATGTGTCCATAGAGTTGGTGATGCCACCCAACCATCTCATCCTCTGTCGTCCCCTTCTCCTCCTGCCTTCAATCTTTCCCAGCATCAGGGTCTTTTCCAATGAGTCAGCTCTTTGCATCAGGTGGCCAAAGTATTAGAGTTTCAGCTTCAGCATCAGTCCCTCCAATTAATATTCAGGACTGATTTTCCTGAATACAAGGACTGATTTCCTTTAGGAGTGACTGGTTGGATCTCCTTGCAGTCCAAGGGACTCTCAAGAGTCTTCTCCAACACCACAGTTCAAAAGCATCAATTCTTCAGTGCTCAGCTTTCTTTATAGTCCATCTCCCACATCGATACGTGACCAATGGAAAAACCATAGCTTTGACTTTATGAACCTTTACCAGCAAAGTATGTCTTTTTTTAATATACTGTTCAGGTTGGCCATAGCTTTTCTTCCAAGGAGCAAGTGTCTTTTAATTTCATGGCTGCAGTCACCATCTGCAGTGATTTTGGAGTCCAAAAAAATAGTCTGTCCCTGTTTCCATTGTTTCCCCATCTATTTGCCATGAAGTGATGGGACCGGATGCCATGATCTTCGTTTTTTGAATGTTGAGTTTTAAGCCAGCTTTTTCACTCTCCTCTTTCACTTTTATCAAGAGGCTCTTTAGTTCTTCTTCACTTTCCGCAAAAATGGTGGTGTCATCTGCATATCTGAGGTTACTGATATTTCTCCTGTTAATCTTGATTCCAGCTTGTGCTTCATCCAGCCTGGCATTTCCATGATGTACTCTGCATATAAGTGAAATAGCAGGATGACAATGTACACCCTTGATGGACTCCTTTCCCAGTTTGGAACCAGTCTATTGTCTCATGTCCAGGCACCAAGAGTCAGGGTCATCACCAGGAGGTCAGAGGAGGTGGGGGTCTGGGACTCCCAAGATCTGTGCAAAGGTCTGCCGAGGCCCTCCAGGGACATGGACATGGCTCAGACGTCCTCCCTTACACGGCCCCTCCCTGACCAGACACCCACGGGCGGGGCAGCAGTCCAGCCAGGCCATGAGCCTGCTGCTCTGGGGCCAGGGCCCCGGGCAGAACTTCACCTTTCAGAGCCCCTGCAGCTTGTCACAAGAGGTTAGGCAGCCTGGAATGCAGCGCCGCTGGTGACTTCATCTCTGACACTCCCCTAGTGATGGATCGTCCTGCAGACAGGATGCTGGGCAGCCAGAAAGGGACAGCTGAGCTGTGCCCATCAGCCAAGACAGGGAGTCCCTGGCGGTGGACGCTGCAGCGGCCTGAGTCATGCTGAGCAGAGAGGAGGCCTGAGGCTAAGAATGGGCCCTTCACCCCAGGCCTCCGGCCACACGGGCTCCAGAGAAACTTCAGAAGATGAGGCCTGTGTCCACGGAGCTTATTTCACATGCAACGGCAGTGGGGCTTCAACTGTGGTGGCTGCACCTCCTGGAAAGCAGGACTGAAGGAGCAGGGTGTCTGGAGAGGAAGCAGCCCACCTCCCCCGGCCAGGGCAAGCTTGGAGGGATGATGGGGATGCGGCTCCCATCAGAGAGAAGACGGCAGTGACCCGCCTCACACCGCATCACGGCACACACACTCCAGACGGACAAACGGCCCCAACATGAACACCGGGATCATAAAAGCGGAAGAAGGCTGATGGGAAACACGACTGTGAAATGTAAAAACCTGGCAAATGAATAAAGGGCAAGGTGTCAAAATAGACTGTTCCTGTCGACAAAAGACAATAGGCAACATCAAATAGTATTTAATGTTAATAAAGTGTTTATTGAACAATATATAATAGATTAAATATATGAAATAAACATTATTTAATAGCTCTATTTACTAATAATTTTGTAAGATAACAAAAGCTATGGTTTTTCCAGTAGTCATGTATGCTTGTGAGAGTTGGACTGTAAGGAAAGCTGAGCGCAGAATTGATGCTTTTGAACTGTGGTTGTTGGAGAAGGCTCTTGAGAGTCCCCTGGACTGCAAGAAGATCCAACCAGTCCATCCTAAAGGAAAGCAGTTCTGAATATTCATTGGAAGGACTGCTGCTGAAACTGAAGCTACAATACTATGGCCACCTGATGCAAAGAACTGACTCACTGGGAAAGACCCTGATGCCGGGAAAGATTGAAGACAGGAGGAGAAGGGGATGACAGAGGACGAGATGGTTGGATGGCGTCACCGACTCGATGGACGTGAATATTCGCAAACTCCGGGAGACAGTAGAGAGCAGAGGAGCCTGGCGTGCTATATATAGTCCATGAGGTCACGTAGAGTTGGTCACGATGAGCGACTGAACAAGATAAAAAATACTTATATCCCTTACACTTCAGCTTCCAAGGGATCAGCCTCAAATTTCTGCTCTTTGTGTATTTGGGCTGCTGGTTTAAAATGTTGTTTCATCATTGATTGTTCTTCTATAAGCAATTCGGGACGGTCGGAACAGCCCTCCGTCCCCCCGTCCTGAGGTCCTTGTAACGAGCGGTCAGCGCCGTGGCAGGTCCTCCCCTGGGTTCCACTCCAGACCTCCGTCACAGCAGCTCCCAACAATGCGGACACTCGGGCAGCCCGAGGCAGAGGTCCTGGCCGTGGAGTCCAGTCCACACAGTCCGCTTCCCGGTGGAAGGACAGGAGGCCTGGAAATGTTCCCCAGCAGAAGCCTTTCTAAATTAAGAAACTTTTATGAAAACACCTGATTTTTTGTGACTGTGAAAGTGAGGATGCGGTGAGTGATTTTGATTTTGTCTTTAAAGAAAGGCATCGTGTGTATTTTGCCTTCACTTTGCATCTCCCCTTTAAGATGATGCTTCTGCTTTCTCTGAAGTGAAAATTATGATATGTAAGTACATAATAATCTGCAATTACCATTTCTAATTATATCTTACAATTATAGTACAATCACATAATATACAACTATGTGATAACATTATTAATCTGACTTGCAAAATGGTGAGCGTGTCCCACAGGTGGACAGGTGGGTTGCCAGTGGAAACAGCCCCCGCAAGCCGCTGGCTGCGGACGGTGGTGGACTTGGGCTCCCACAGCCTGTCTGCCCGGGTGCGGACTCACATGCGGGAGCCTCACCTCTGAGCGGCTGCCGTCCACGCATGCATGGCTCCCAGCCTCTGCGCTGCTGTGACACAGGTCCCCTCTGCTTACATCCTGCGGCCAGAGGCAGCCAGAGGCTTACTCCTGACACAAGGTGACCGGGACATGCCATCCTGCACTGTGGGCAGCCGGCAACTCGGCAGGCAGCGCTGCCCACCACCACTCCGCTCCGCAGAGCACGGTGCCCACAAGACGGCCAAGACGGAGCGGCCAGGGGGCCAGAGCCATGCAGCGAAGTCATGCCTGTGGTCCAGTCCTGCCTGGACAAGCGTCACCGTGTCCTCAGAATGAGCAGAGACAACAGGGCCCGCCACCTCTCAGCTGTGCCGTCAGGGGTCCACGCTGGGATCATCTGGGAGGGCCTGGTCCAACGGCAGGAGCCCCCGTGGAATCCTCAGATGCCCCAAAGCCCCCAACAGAGTTGCTGGATCCCAAGGGCTGCCAGACTGGGGCAGAGGGGCGGAAGGAGCACAGAGCAAGGCTGGTCCCCGAGTCCCGCAGACGTGCCGGCCCCCGGGGACCACCGCCGGCCGAGCCAGCCGAGCCTGCCGAGCCTGAGGCCACGCGGTGACGTTGGGGCAGTAACCAGCCGTGGGGAAGGAGGGTCCCCACTCCAGGGATACACCGAGGCTAGGAAGGGCCCGTCAGGGCACCCCGTGTTCCCCAAACCCATGAGGGCCCCTCTCAGCTGGAAACAGGGTGACCGCACACAGAAGTAAACACGAGGTCGGCAGGGCGGGCCAAGATCCGGTGTGACCCATGTCCTTATGAAGGGACACGTGGATACAGAGACAGACATGCGTGGGGACACGGCTCTGTGGCCGCAGCCACAGGGTCCTGGAGAGGGGCCAGCCCGCGGGGAGGACGCACGCCGGGCTTGGTCAGCCGCAGGGTCCTGGAGAGGGGCCAGCCCACGGGGAGGACGCACGCCGGGCTTGGTCAGCCGCAGGGTCCTGGAGAGGGGCCAGCCCACGGGGAGGACGCACGCCGGGCTTGGTCAGCCGCAGGGTCCTGGAGAGGGGCCAGCCCACGGGGAGGACGCACGCCGGGCTTGGTCAGCCGCAGGGTCCTGGAGAGGGGCCAGCCTGCAGGGAGGACGCACGCCGGGCTTGGTCCTGGACCGCCACCTCCGGAGCCGTGAGAGAGGACACGGCTGGGGGTGAGGCCTCCCGCTTACGCGGTCCCAGGCCCCGCGTCCCTCCCCAGGGTGGCCCTGGACCCGCATGGAGTCGGGTCCGAGCAGAGAGTGGCCCACGTGTGACCCAGGGTCCTGGTCACGTCCGCTCCAGAGCGTCTGGGTCCCTGGTAAGAAGAGCGCCTCATGCTCACTTTCAAACAGAAAATGAAAAGGTTGCTAAATGTATAAGCAATTTTAACTGAGTCATTGATCTGAATACTTTTAAAGTAAAACAGTAAGTATTTCTGCGGCCCTTTGAAGTCAGCCTGGCTCTTCGCCTCCCTCGGGTTATTTTACAGCCATTAAGAATGTGTTCCTTTTATCTGGGGCCTTCAATTAATTGGATTTCAAAAAATACTCTGAAATGACTTTTTTTCATATAAAAACCAGCTAAGTCCTGGAGGACATTCCCAGATGATTTACTGCCACAGTAATTGAAAGCCAGCAGTCACACTGGTCACCTCTGGGGAGCCACCAGCTACAGTGGGGTCTGATGGGGGATCTGCAGTGCTCCCCGGACGCGGCAGGGACGGGAGGACCGCCTTCAGACGGCGGCACGCCTCCCGAGTCACCCCAGACGGGGACACACCAGCTCTCCCAGGACGGGGACATGCGAGGAGGTGTGCGCGCTCTTCCACCACAGACCTGCTGAGCGCAGAGCACCCTGGGGCCTGGGGTGCAGCCTCCCACAGACCGCCGGACCCCGAACCCCTCTGGGAGGGAGAGGAGAGGTGGGGGCACCCGGGCAGCAGGTGGGGGCCACGGCGCCGTGCCCCCTCCCTGCACCTGTTCCGCATCTACCCGCTAACCTGTGCACAGGCCGCCAGGTACCCGGCCGCCTTCTGCCTGAGCAAGTATTCTGCTTGGAGGCTGCAGGAGAGTGGCCCGGGGGTACTGGGGGGGCCCTGGCTCTTCTTCCACCTGGGGAGCACACTCCTTCTCTGGGCAAATTCTAGGCAGACACCCAGGGAGGCTCCTTGCTGAAGGGTCTCACCCCTGTACTATTTGCGGAGGTCCCCTACACGAACACAAGCTCACCCACAAGGGTTAGGTTTCCATTTCTTTCCACCCTGCTTTCTTTCCTCTTTTCTATGTGAAGGGCTTCAGAACAATATTCAAATTCCAGGGCAAAGGTGCATACTGTTACTCTCCTCTAAGATTTACAGTAACCTCCTCTCCTTTGGACGTCCGTTCCAGGCCAGGGCATTGGTGATTCAAGGCTGGGCCTGAGAACATGTTGCGTGTAAGCACACCAACCACAGACGTGGTGTGGGTTGCTGGCCTTTCACTGCTCACGGGAGAAATCGCCCTAAAACCTGCTGACACACCTCGGTGTTACAGACACACGCGTGCCGAAAGCAGGGAGAAAACAGAACATGCATGCCCACTTCTGCTGCCGCGGTTTCCTTCCCACCCCGAAAGGAAGGGAGGTGAGATGCCGGCTCGACGCTCCAGGCCCGCCTGGCCCCTCAAGGTCCCCCCAGGCAGGGGCCAGGCCACAGGTCCCTGGCCTAATCCGGACACCATGCTGCTCTGAAACAAGGAAACCCTCTCACACTGTGCTGGAAGCCATCCCGAGCTGGGAGCTGAACTTCAAAAGGGAAAGGAAGCGAGAAAGTTTCCCCTGCAGCTCCCGGGCCAGAGGGAAGCAGGCTCCCCAGAGGACCCTTTGCAAAGATGAAGGAGGCTGCTTGCTGCGGCCCTGAGACCTGGGTCCCACTAAACAGCTCAATCAGGCCAGGGAGCATGACGGAGGCCTGGCCCCTTCCAAGAACAGCAGCATCCCTGGGACACCCAGGCCCGGGAGTCTCTCCGAAGCTGTCCTCACTCAGGACCAGTCCCTTCAGCATCCTCTCAAGGTCGGGTGAGAGCCTTTTGTCCTTCCTGCGTCCTCGGGGAGTGGGGGCCGTGGATGCCCGGACCCCCGGGTGGTGGCAGGCACCAGGAGCAGTGTGGGAGCTGGCCTTGTCAGCGCCAGCTCGGGCTCTCAACCCCCAAATGCCTCTGCAAGTCACAGCAAGGTTGAGACGAGGGGGAGGATACAGGCAGGGCCAAGCCCCGGGGGCACAGAGACTTTTGTTTCAGATTGCACTCTGGCTCTGCCAACAGGAAAAACAAAAGAGGGATTGAAAGGTGCTCCTTGGGGAGCCAGGACTGACCAGAGGTGGGGGCACAGGCAGGCAGCTCTGCCAGGCGTTGCGGGGGCGGGGTGGACTGCAGCCCTCCCAAGGAGCCCAGGCTGCCTGCTCACTTTCCAGAAGGACCACTCCAATGTGGAAGAGATACCTTGCCAGCTAGGGCTGTTTCATCATTTCCTCAGAGCCAGGAGGGCCTGGCAGTGTGGCGGGAGGGCTGGAGCAGCTCCCTGCCCAAGCTCAGGGGCTAGGGGACAGAGGGTGGCCACTGAGGCTTCTGGCCCTCAGTCAGGGGCCAGAGCCAGGTCAGAGCTGACAGCATCCAGGTGACCGTCTCTGGGCGAGTCCAGGGAAGGGAGGCCCTCACTCCCAAGGAATGACCCCCGTGGTGCCACCTCCGGACACCTGGAGTGGTCAGGGCCACAGAAACCCTGCAGGAACAGAGCCTGTCCAGCTGTCCGGGCTCCCTGACGCAGCGGTGTGTTGTTGCTAAAGGGGCCCTGGTGAATGTGAATTGAGTTTATCACCCAATCACGGTCGTAAACACAAGCCTGCCTTGCTCATCTTCAGCTATGAAAAGAATCTTAGTCCAGGTAAGCTCTCTCTTGGAGAGGTGGAGGCCTGTCTGGTTGGCCCCAGGCGCAGCCCAGAGCATCCAGCACGGCAGGAGGGAGGGGCCAAAGAAACAGCAGAGCTGCAGGCAAACCCCGCCCCTCCCCAGAGTGCAACTCGCTGCCCCCCATCTCTTTCCCGCTGGACACCCCCTCCCGGAACACTTCCATCAGCCCAGGGCAGAGGGACAGGGAGGTGCCCCCAGGGAGGCAGCCTGGAGGAGGCCCAGCCTCCTGTTACAGAGCGGCCCAGAGGCCAGAGCTGATCCCCTCCCCCCACAGAAGCCACTGGAAGCACCAGCGCCAGGAAGCTGGGGCGGGGTGGGGGGGGGCACTGGCCCCTCCTCTCCCAGAGGAGGCCCTGCCGGCCCAGCGCAACAACCCTGGACACAAGGTCGCCCCAGCCTGGAGCACCACCCTCCACCAGCGAAGCCTGGCAGACACACTGGCCTTCACACCGGCCGCAGGAAAGGGGTGGGCTGGCAGCAAGTGACTTCTCAGGCGTTCTCCAAGTCGGCCGGCCTCAACCACCACCGACTGGCCAGGAATCACAGCGGAGACAAGTTCAGGGCTCTCTGAAGGGGAGTGAGGAGGATCTGCGAGGATACCAGGGCAGGGGGTTGGGGGTGGGCTGAGGAAGGGTCAGGGGTCAGGGAAGCAGGGACCTGGGCCCACCACACCGGCCTGCCCTCCCAGCTGCAGGGGGCAGAAGCCACAGACTGTCCACACCGGAAATGTGCTCTGAGGCCAGAGGCCCAGGCTGGCAGGGCTCCGGAAGGCCTGATAAACCCCTCTTGGCGGGAGGCCTGGTCCTGGGCAGGTCACAGGTTCACTGGCCCCCAAGCAGTCCCTGTCGCCTGAATGCACCCAGATCCACCTGCCCAAGACCCCTGCCCACAGCCTGGCTCCCGCCCAGCCCAGGGCCCGCGCTGCCCTGCGAGTCCCTCCCGGGGGCCTAGCGGGGACATAGGGGGAAAGTGGGCCCCGCAGGGTGAAGGGGCAGCGTCGGGGGAGGGGCGAGAGAGAGGCAGGCCCTGGAGCCAGGACCCCCGCCCCCTCCAAGGAGTACTCGGCCTTCAGCACCCGGGCGCTCCCTTGGATCCCCAGCGCCGGGATACTAAGGCCAAGAGAGGACTGGGGAGTGTGGACTAGCGAGAGAGGGGCTGGGTGGAGGGGGGAGACCCTGGGGACCTTTCCCCGAGCGGCTCCGGAGACCCCAAGCAGCAAAGCCTGGCGCGGGGAGGGCCCTCTGAAGGCCCGCGAGGACCCCGAGGCCTCCGCGAGCGCTTGACCCGATCGAGGCCCTCCTTTTCCCCCCGGAGGGTCCTCTCAAACCGGGGCGCCCCCGGCCCCCACCCCGCCACCGGC